TGTGGTACTGTGAAGATTGGCAAATGAGTCAGAGGCATTGTCAAGTGGAATAAAGAGATTACTGAAGCTGTAAAGAGAAAGAAAAAAGCTTACCTGAGAGATTTGAATGGTGGGAGTATAGATGAATACAGAGGGCATAACTGTAACTGCAAGGAAATTGTGAAAAAAGCAAAGAACATGTTGATGAAAGAGCAGAGAAATTGGAAGTGGCATTTAAGGATGACCAGAAAGCTTTCTGGAGGTACATGAGAAAGATGAAAAGTAGTGATGCATATGTAGGTACAAAAAGCATAAAAGATAAGAATTGTAATCTATTGAGGAGTGAGATTGTATTGGAAAGGTGGAGAGAGTATTTCAGTGAATTTTTAGGATATACAGATGTCAGTGATAGGGTGTCTAAGTGTGAGGCTAGGATGTGAATGAGGATGGTCAGGGATGTCAGGAGATCATTATGCAAGAGGTGAAAAGAGCAAATAACAAGTTAAAAATGGGAAAAACTGCAGGTGGAGTATGTGCTAAAATGTTAAAATATGGTGGTGATATGTTGTTGGCATGTATGCAAACCTCTTTTGCCCGTGCTGGGAGAAAGGGTGGGTACCAAATGATTGGAGAGATGCTATTATTGTTGTTCTATATAAAAGGAAAGGTGATAGTGCAGAATATAAGAATTATAGAGGTGCTAAGTCTGCTAAGTGTGCCAGAAAAGATATTTGCAAGAGTTTTAGTGGATAGGGCAATGAGAATTACTAGGGAGAACATCTCAAACATTCAATGTTGGTTTGTGGCTGGAAAGATTTGTATGGATCAAATTTTTGGATTGCAAATGATTGTTGAGAACTACCCTTAGGTGTGAACAAACAAGTTTTTGCATTATTTGCCAATTTAGAGAAAGCATATGACCAACTGAAAAGAGAGTACTTTTGGGATGTTCTCCCTGAGTATGGAGTGAGTGGGAAGCTGCTTGAGGTGATAAAAGCACTGTATGAGAACATTGGAGTGTGTGTTAGAGTGGCTGGTGAAATGTCAGTGTGTGTTCAATGTGACTATGGGCATGAATCAAGACTGTATAATCTTCCTGAATATTCAATGTATACTTGACCAAACATGTGAGGCAGTTGAAAGAAGAATGAATGGGTATGAAAGTAGGTAGTGAACTGTTCAATTGCTTATTATATGCTGATGTTATCATTCTACTGGCTGAAAGCCAAAATGAACTGCAGTATCTTATGTTGAGGTTGAATGAGTGCTGAAAAAAAAAAAAAAAAAAATGGCATTGAGAATGGAGAGAGAATGAAAGTTTGTGTTTGAAAGAGATGAGCAAATGAATGAGGGCAAGATACAGTTGAATGGTGTGATATGACAATAGAGCTAGTAAGAGTGTTTTTTACTTGAGGAACATCTTTGAGAGGAATGGCAGAATAGATAGGGGGACTGGAAGATGAGTGAATGCTTGTCTGAAAATGGTTGGGTGCACAGAGTAATTGATTCACAAAAATTTGTTTCCAAAGAAGACAAGTATGGGTGTGTACAAGTGTGTGGTTCTCCTGACCTTGTTGTATGGTTGTGAGGTGGGTGTAAGAAACAAAGCATAAGAGCAGGGTAATTGCAGCTGAGATGAGATATCTGAGGTGTGTATGTGATATAACAAAGATGTGTTTGGTGCAGTGCATTGTGAAAGAATGCAACTGAGCAAGTGTGTCAAGGATGTCTGCATTGGTTTGGCCATATGGAGAGAATGTCTAAAGATGAAGTTTTTAAGCAGTTGTATGTGAGGAGTATGGAGGGAAGAAAAGGGTATGGAAGACTGAGGAAAAGATGAGCTGAGCAAATGAAAGAGTGTCAGAAAGAGATTCTGAGTGAAAGGTACTGAGTGTGTGTGTGAAAAGAATCATGAGTGTGGAAAAATGGAAATTGGCACAAGATTGTTAGGCATGGGTTAGTGCATGATTTTAGCAGGTCCCAGGGTGGAAGTTTGGGTGAATGTTCCTGGCTTGCTATGCCCTGCCTATATGATGTTCTTCAGAGGACTGAAACTTGCAGCGTGTTGTGCATAGGAAATCCACTTTTTTCTTGGCCATCCCTTTAGGGAATGCTGTGACAAAATAGTAAAGTAGTAAAGATTTTACAATCAAGTAAAGAATCTTTTCTACTTTATTATTTAATAAAAGTGATCAAATAAAGGAGAACTTGCAAGAACCAGCACAATAATTTTGGCAATATTGTGAGTCAGACTTTTGTGATGATATGAGCCAGTAGTGCCACAAGCATGGCCAGTCATCTCAGTGTCACTAAACTTTGTACTACAAAGAGTTTTATTTAATCACCTAATAGAAATCTATAGCTATTTTTAAAATTAAAATTTATCAAAGTATTAATTATTGTGAATAAAAAATTAATGCTTGATAATATCATGTTGTAAAGGTGAATTTTAGACATTTTCATTTTTTCTAGAAATTACTTGAAAAAAGTTCTAGAATGTTTGATGTGTATTTAAATAGAATAATCAAGGACATTTCAACACACATTTCATTGGAAATAGATGCATCAGTAATGTCTGACAATATGAAACCTTCAAAAGAACACGTTTGCAAGCTCCATTACTTCAAAAGTGGCCACAATGTAACGAAGGTTCATAACCTTATCAGCAGTGCCTTAACTAGCCTTTTATGCACCTGGTGCAAGCTTCTGTAACTATGACCCAAAACTTGGTCCAGGTCATTTCTGCACCCTGTGCCTGGGCACCACTGGCACCGCCCTAGTTACGGCACTGCTTATCAGCAAGACATTTGGTAAAGACAGTCAGCAGATAAATTTGCTACAATTAATTTAAGAAATTGAAAAATGGAGATTTCTCACTTCAAGATGAACTCCATTTCAGCACTGAATCCACCATTGATAATGACATTCTCCTACAACTGATAGATGATAATCCACAGTTGACCACCAGAGAATTAGCACAACAACTTGAATGTTTCCATAAGCTCCCAAAAATTGACAGTCCAATATCATAATGTGCCAACACATAAAGTAAAGAAAAGCCAATCTGGGCTGGGAGGTTCTACCTCATCCATCTTGTAGCCCAGACTTGGCATCAACTGACTACCATCTATTTTTTTTTTTCACCATGTAGAACCATATTGCCAATATACAGTTTAATGACAATACTCATGAAAGAGTGATGTTTGAGAATTTTTTCAAAGAAAAATCCCAGTTGTTCTATGCTCAAGAGATTGAAAGTTTGCAACAAAGATGATGAGATATGATTGATATTGATAGTGATTATGTACAAGACTGAACTATACTTGTTCCCATCTATAAAACTGGAACCCTGTTTCTGTGAGTTGAGAGATTTTCTTCTGGCAAAGGTGGAAGGCTCTTATAAGTATCTCTCCGATGTGTTGGATTTATCACACTTGATGGTCCACTCGTCCTTCGAATACGAAGGGGTCACTTCATACAAACAAGGGATGTGCCGATGGGCAGCCCAATATCAGGAACACTTTGTGAATTAGTGATCAGAAAACACGAGAATACCATATTACCCAAATTTCAAGAGAACATAGCATTGTATGTCAGGTACATCGATGACGTACTCATCGTATGGAACAAGGTACCTAACATTGATTTTGTACTTAACTATTTTAACGATAACCCCTATGGCCTGTCATTGAAAGTTGAACAGGAGAGTCAGACAACAATACATTTTTTGGATATTGCCATCAAAATGGAGCAAGGTCATCTTTCCACCTGTGTGTTCCGTAAGGAGTCATATACACCTCTATTTATACATAACCGCTCACATGACCCTTACTCTTACAAAGTCTCTGCTTTTCGAGCTTTGGTAAAAAGGGCACACACACATTGTTCGGAGCAAAATGAAAAGGAAAACGAATTGTCGAGGATCAAGGCCCTTGCAATGCAACATGGATACCCGTCCTCTTTGGTCAAGCATCTCATAAAACAATACATAAATAGGAGGGAGAGGAATATGCCACAAGACGAACAGATGAGGGTTATCACATACAACAAAACACTTTCTAATATGTATATACAGAGAGATTGCGAGGACTACTAAAATACACCTAGCATATCGACGCTCTCCTACAGTCTTCTCTCTTATCAGAAATGATAAAAACCGTATAGAAGATTCTAACTCTCCAGGGGTGTATGCAGTTCCTCTTCAAGATCACCAGGTTAACCATGTTTTAACATACATTGGAGCAACCGCAAGAGGTCTCGCCATGAGGATGAAAGAACATGAATACTCAATAAGAAAAAAGCTGACCACGACGGCACTAACGACATATGCGAATAATGAGGATGTTCATGTTGATCTACAAAACGCTAAATTGCTACACAAAGTATCGGATAAGGCACAACTCAAGTACCTCGAATCGTTGGAGATATATAAGGCAATTAAAAAAGGGGTCAGTATTAATTTCAAAGAAACCGATACGCTTTCCTCAGCATGGCGCACCATATTTGAATTAGATCCCAATGATTGAAACATGCATCAAAGATATTTTAAATTACGGAGGATATTTACGTCATGATCTACGTGAAACCGATTGATTATTTATTTGGATATGTTTTAAATATTTTTACATATTTTCAATTTTAACGCAACATATTCGAATTACGTAGTTAAACGGAACTTTCAAAAACATTCTATTCTACTAGCCATTAGTTCGATATTGTCAATACCTAAGGATGTCTATTACATATAGATGAAAACGTTCGTAGAAAGAATTTTTCTGTTTGGTTATGAACTGGTGATGGTTTATTTGGTGAGTGTTATATAATTAAGTATTCAGTTTTTTGAAATACAGTACAATAAAGTTTTTTTTCAAAATATCTAAATTTCACCTTTACAACTTGATAGAAGTAGGTTGAACAATATCTATAAAGCATGTTTTTCTTTAAATTTCTGAATTAACTCTTTAGCTGTTATATTAATTAATAGATTTTATTTATTTATTTTATGTATTTTATTTTTTCAGATAATCATTGATTCTGTTTGAGAATGAAATTATCATTTATATTATAATTCTAATCAAATGATTATAAAATGTCTGAATCTTGTGAAAAAAAGACTGATGATAAGAATCAGAATTTTGTTTTACCTCCAATAACACTTCAAGAATTAATTAAAGAAGATAATTTTTGTCTTGAAAAAGCACAAGATGGTAATAAATCTACAGATTCATTTGAATGTAATAATGAGACTAAATCAGAAGAACTTGATTATTTAAATAATTCTGATTCAGATCATCAAGAAAATTCATTTTTTACATCTGAATCTTATGAAAATGAACTTATTTGTGATAAAAGTGTTGAAAATCATTCAAAGTTATCAATAAACGAAAAGAGTACTATAGAATCAACAGAGTCACAGTGTAATGATGATGATTCTTCCTTTGTTGAAAATTCTGAAAATGATAATCTCAATGATTCTAATTTTTGTGAAGCAATTAGTCAAGATGAAGCTAGGTCTACAAGTAGTAATAACAGTACAGAAAGTTCTGATGATGATGATTATAATTGTATACCAGATGTACCAAAACCATCTCATAAATGGAATGCATGTAAAGAAGTACTTAACAGACAGTATGGAACATCAAATCGTTATATTAATGATTTATTTAGATTACGTAATTATGGAAGCCTTTACACTGTGGAACATTTACAATTGTTCACTAAGTTAGCATGTCATGAAGGATGTGTGAATGCTCTACATTTTAATAATACAGGCAATAGATTAGTTAGTGGCTCTGATGATTTAAATATAGTAATATGGGACTGGGCAAAAAGTACATCTGTCCTCTCATATGAAAGTGGCCATCGAAATAATGTTTTTCAGGTATGTAAGTTTTATTTACAACAGGTTAATTCAAATAATTAAACAAAACATGTTTAAGCTTTTAGTATTTCTTAATTAGTTTGCTTGAAAAATTTATAGTAACTTCAAACTTTATCAAAAATTCTGGATTTGGATTTTTTCCTCTTAGTATCATTAACAATACATAGGTTACTATCAAGGGATAAATATTGCATCATGCAATGCATGCCTGACATCAATATTTATCCTTTATAGACAGAATTAACTATAAATGAGTCAATTACCATGAACAAGAGATAAAGATCATAGATAATATAAGTGTCATAGATTGAATGTGAATATCAATTTAAAGTTTGATCTTTTACATCAGTAGACTGATACTATACTAGGAGATTGTCTGAGAGTTCTAATGTTAGTTGTGAAAATTTTTTATTCAGAATTACTTCTATTTTAAATTTTTATTAAAAAAATCATTTATTCTATACATATTCTTCTATAAATTTATTTATTTATATTCTATATATTTAAGTGAAATCTCAACAACAACAAACTTTATTGTGATTACATAGCAGTTTTTGAATATAATCACATGAATATATTATTGTGCTGTAAATCAATTAATCATAGTAAACTATAATTAGTACCATAGATTCACAGTACTATAATATATAGTAAATTTGAATTATATAAATGAGTCGGTCTGTATTATTGAATTTATTTCATTTTTACTTTTAAAATTTATAAGTAATAACTCATAAATTTAAAAAATACAATGAAATCAATTCTTTACTTATTGTTTGTAATCTTTTATTGAAAGTTATAATTATTTGTTTTTAACACAGGCAAAATTTTTACCTTTATGTGGTGATTGTCATATTGTAAGTTGTGGAAGAGATGGACAAATAAGATTGGGAGAATTATCAACAACTGGTCTTTATGAAAACACTAAACATTTAGCTCAACATAGAGGTGGTGTCCATAAGGTAAATTTAGAATTTTAATTGAATATTAAGTTAAAATTGACTTGTTTTATTTCAATTGAATTTAAAAATTTTCTGATTTATTAACTATACTTGATTTTTAATAATTTTTCATATTGAAATCAATTTATAATTTATGATCAGAAACCTAATAAAAAGTTTTTGTATTATAACTGTTCCTGAGGAATGAAATTTTGTTTATTTGTTTCAAATTTTTTCTTCTGATTCTTGATTTCTAAGAAAGCTCTTCTCCAACAAAAAGTGAATAATAAATTACCGGTATTCAAAAAGTTTGATTTTGGCTTACTGTCATATGTATGGCCACAAAGTGGTCTGATATACATAAGACCATCTGTTAGGTTTAAAAAAAATTGTACAATATACAATACTACCTTTTCTGAGGTCAGTGACACTATAAACCGTCTCCCAAGGAACAAAGCCACAGGTCTAGATGGGGTAAACAAAGACATTATTCTAACAATGTGGAAAACCTGCCCAGATCTACTTCTCAATATTCTCAACTTTTGCTTCAAGTTCAGTATCTACCCCCAGCCATGGAAGAAGGCTCTTTTTGTTTTAATACCGAAAAATCAGGGCAGGCCTCTCGACATTCAAAACATATGAAATCGCTCCTTGCTGTCAATCTTGGAGAAAATTTTAGATAAGCTCCTTTTTAATCATATTTATTGGTTTTGGGAGTCCAGAGAACTGTTCCGTGAAGCCCAATATGGTTTCTGGTGCCAGCGTGGAGTTGTTGACGTATTGATGGACTTAATTGGGCACATCAAACATCTGCTATGAAGCCACAAGTTTGTCTTTGGCCTCAGCCTAGATCTGAGGAATGCATTCAATTCAACCTGGTGGCTGCAAATTTTATGCAGATTAGGTGAGTGCAATTGTCCAGCTAACTTATTCCATCTTGCTGGAAATTATTTTGAGGATAGAGAAGCAATTATCTCTCTGGGGCATCTTCAGTTTACAAGAAAGCTACAACGTGGCTGTCCACAGTCTGTTTGTGGGCCCCTGTTCTGGGATATTTTATTCAATAACTTCTTCCATACTGACTTCGGCTACCAATGTCGTGTCTATGCATATGCAGATGATGCCTTTTTGGTTTTCCTTGCCTCATCAAGATACTACATAGAAAGGGCAGCTACTGACATTCTTAAGAAAGCATACAACTGGGGTTCTTAATAAACTCCAGTTGTATGCTTTCTGAGAAATAAACTCAGTTTTAACATGTCAAAGATCTAAGGAAATTGTTTTCTCCTCTCCGGGCATCCCTGACCTTTACAGACATGTGCCATGTATCAGGTTTCGTAGTGAGTCCATAAAGGTTGTAAGTCATCTTACTTTCCTTGGGGTTGTTATTGATCATAAACTCTCCTGGAAATAGCATATAAAACACATTACTAGTTGGAGTAACTTGACCTTTAATGGTCTTTTAAGGGTTGCCAGATGCAAGTGGGGCCTTAGTTATGGCAACTAATGCCATATATGATTGCCTGTTTTTACCAACTATCTCATATGCATCTGCTGTTTGGAGTGCTGCTACCTCTCAATAACCATCGGCGTCTGAGGTCTGCACAGCAGATTGCCTTATTAAAACTTACCAGGTGCTATTCCACTGTTTCAAATGCAGCCCTCCCTGTGGTGGCTGGGAAGCTTCCCATCTTTCAATTTCTCCAATTTAATAGCAAATGTTTCTATATCTGTAGGGGCAGGGATGTTGATATTAATGAAACCATCTTTAATGCCACCATGTTTGAATTAGACAGGCCTGTATCTACACTCCCACATCCTGCCTTAAGGAAGGGACTCTCTCCTCGTGTTACCTCTACAGAGATTGAAGCTTTTACAGATGGATCCAAGTCAACGGACGGCATGTCAAGTGCCTTTGTGATCTTTCAGGCTGGTGAAGAGGTTTACAATGATTCTTTTGCTCTACACCCAGAATGCTCTGTTTTCCAAGCTGAGATCTTCGCTGTATTGATGGCAATCAACTGATGCAACTCTAACGTTGTGAACAAACAGATAAATATCTTCACAGACAGTGCTGCGACTATTGCTGCTTTGGGGAATAAGGATAATACTCACCCTGTTGCGAACGACATCATCGCTGCAGCTTCTATGTCTTTTAACAAGTATGCCATCAATTGGATCAAAGGACAGCAGCATTTTGGATAATGAATGGGCTGACTTTTTGGTGCAAAATGTAACGACTAATTCTGATACTCCTGCTTACAGTCTCACTCCTAAGACTTAAATACTTTATCTGGGAGAATGCCTTGAAGATCTGGCAGCTGAATTGGGATGAGATCCCACAACAGCACATAACAAGAAGTTTTATCCCAAAGGTCAAGGAATGTGTTCACAGCAATGGATTCAACTCACACATGATTTAGCCCAATTTTTAACAGAACACGGGCACTTTTGTGTTTACCTGAAAAGATTTCATCACTCTAATTCTGGCTGTTGTCAGCTTTGTGGGGTGCAGGACAATGTTATGCACTATTTATACAACTGTCCTATGCTAGACACCAGGCATCAGTGCATGCAACATGCCAATATGAACAATATACACTGGCCAGTAAAGCTGATTTTTTTCTTATAAAGCAACAGCAACTTTAACTTGTTAAAGGAATTTGTTTCACTCTACTCTATTAGATGTGGAATCTGTTGAACTGCTCTCTAATGATCTGATTTACTCTAGGCTTGGTGCCAATGTATATACATGCATTGCTCTGTTATAACAGCATGTAGGCTTTGATGTACAACAATGTTACTTTAGTTTTAGTTTACTTTTATTTTTATTCTCTTGATTTTTTAATCTTTTATTTAATTTTTATTCTTATTTCTATTTACTTTAATTCAGTTATTTTATTCATTTATTTAAATTTTACTTTCTCTTTTTTCTGCCATTATATTATTGTATCCCTTGTATGGCCAACAGCATGTATCTACTATGTATGTTTTTTCTGTATTTCTGCCTGGCTGTGCTCAGCATTGCTAGACAATAAAGATTATTTTGACTGACTGACAACTAATTTCAATTATGAGTAGTCTTTTGGGACATTTCAACAATTTCCTGTCATTTACTTAAGTATTGTTCTCTCTAAATTTTTTACATCTGTAAAGAACAAACATTGCTCTGAGTAAAAAATTTTTGTAAGCATGGAAACTGCATGATATTTTAATTTTTTCAGCATTAAATTCATCAACTGTTTTTCATATAGTTGGAATAATAATTTGATAAAAGAAATTATTTATCAAAAGATACACTATAACTCACATTACAAATAGGCTTCTTTATGTATAAACTAAGCAGTGTATGTTTAACCACTCAAAACACATGTAAATTTCCATATTCAGCAGCAATAATAAAACAAATTACAATGTTATGGCATGCTATATGGCAAGAAAATCCACTTGCATGATAATGTTTTTAGTTCATGCAGCTTAAGGGAAACATTGCATTAAAACTAGCTGTTGTTACTTTAGGAATGCTATCTTAATATTTATTTAGATTTGTCTAGGTAGATGTTTGTTATAAGAATGTAGCAGTTCTTAATTTCACTTAGATTTTTTTGAATTGATGAACTCAGTGTTTCCTTTTAGAATGATATTTCAAAAATGTAAGCAGTAAAGCTTAATTATGGGGATTGGTATTTAAAACTTGGAATTGGGATTATCCATTATTGACACGTACCTGAACCAGTTACCGGTGTTGGAGAAAAGATAAATAAATATAGCAAACGTTTTTGAACCTTATTAGTTCTTCTTCAGATGATAAAAAGTGACGGAACATAGAACAAAAATAGAACATCAGTATTTAAACAAAATCAAACCCACTTGCGGTTTAAAATCATTGGAATGGACATGTGCATACACTGCGGGTAGATGGCGATTAAAGATCCCATGTCAATGAGGGCCTGCCAGGCAACAGACAAATTGAGCTCTTCTTTATAATTTATGCACATGGTGGCGCAGCAGATTTGTAAATGGAGATAGCCTCCAACCACCTAAAGTGCTCAGGGTGAGGTGAAGAGATGATGAGCTTCACTTGGTTGAAGGCTGCCTCGAAGTCTGGTTTGGCCACGTAAACCACAAGAGTTGTAGAATGTCTGCATTGTGTTCACGTATTCTGATTCCCATTGATCATTTGGTTGAACTGATGTACACAAGGTTCCTGTCACACCTGTGGTCCTTAAGAGGTATAGAGTAAACGTCTGGGAGTCTGTTGGGTTCGAGGGAATCCTTCCTGTTACAGAGGATGTCCAAGATGGTGGGACATCTTCTGTATGTGATGTTAATGTGGCGTTACGAAGTAATGTACAGATTATTTGCTTGTGCTAACAATAGATCTGACATCTAGCGGTATTAATGCAAACTATGTAATGGCGGCTGCTAAGGGTATAAAGTCTGACTGCAGTAAAGTCTGTGGTCTGTTAGAATTAGAAAGTGTTCAAGCTACAATGGTAAATAATAAGTATTGCTGTGAATTTAGATGCAAGTCTAAAGGTTCAACAAACTCAGTACATATGCGCACATTCGCAAAAAATAAATTACATCGAAAAAAGTGGGAAATACCTAATTTTGCTGTGCTTAAAATTCTTTTATTTTTACAAATGTTTTCAACCTATCTAATATAGACCATCGTCAGGTTTATAAATGTTCAAAAATGTTCCATTTTTGAATATTTTACATATTTAAAATTCAAAAAAGTAATTTAACTTTAAAATAAATTGAAAGAAGTGTGTATATTAAATAAATAAAATAAATAAATAAAAAGTAAATAAAATAAATCAAAGACAAGTCTATTTAAGAGGGATCACCATTGAAGTAAGACGTCTGTGTGTCACCGATTCTTTTTACTTTTAATTGGATGTTTGCATTTTTTTAAAGGACTTTTTTTACCTTTGGCGGCATGAAGCCTAAAAAACGAAGGCCTGTTGCCATTAATGTGTATGTGTAGTCTGAAATGCAAAATAAATGGTGATCCC